TTCACAATAAGCCAATGGTTGATCTGGGCATTCCTGAAGTTCTTTGTTTTTCTCTCTGTAAAGCCGAGCGATAGCAGTATCGATTGTTATCACACATACGGTTAGATATTTCTCACGAATGAGTTCTTCAAACAATAGAGATCATTGCATTGAGCAGTCTGAAAAGAATGAAGAACTTTTGATTATGTACTTCTTCTTCGTTTTTATTGCAGATACAGACAAGAACAACCAGACATACATTAAAACGATGCACACGAAGCAAAATAATAATAAGTGAAAAAAGAAAATCATTCGAAGAAAAAACCTGGAGTACGTTTTCGTCATGAAAACATGGAAAAGAGTAGTGAGAAGAGGTAGGTGACCGATACCATTAAGAAGGTCAGATGAAGAGTCGATCTATTCGATGAATTCATTCGAAGCTCAATGTTGCCACAGGCCACTCGACGGCCGGCATTTCTGTCAAAAAAAATCAGAGAAATACAAGATTCAATTAAGTGGTTTTTTAATATACCCTGTAGTAGCACTGTCGGAACTTGTTCCGAGTCCGAGATCATCCATAGCAGCGTGCACAACTACTGATAGATTGAAAATCGCTTGATTTTTATTATATAGTTGAATGATAGAATCGGAAATGTTAATTGTGACTGTACCGTTTGTATCCGTCTGTATGTTTCCAAGATCGCCAACATGACGACTACTTAGACTACCATTCTGAGATCCGTGTTTGACATCTGCAGAAAAAAAAAGTTATAAGATGAATAGACATCTCAAACAGTGATTTTGAATTGACTATTGAGCTTACTATATGGGTTGAAGTGAAGCCCAGCCTTAGTACAATTTCTTATGCCGTCCATCAGTGAAAATTCATGAATGTGAAAACCCTAGAACCCATATTTGCAGAAAAATCAATTAGAATTATTTCCTTTGTTTCACACGTACCAATGAAGTATTGCTAAAAAGTCCTGCCAGTCTACCAGTGATTTTCACCGATGAATTCACATTGTCTTGTGTAAATGTCAAAACACCGATCGAAGTAGTATTTAAATTATATTTAACATCGGCTGTGGCGATCATAGAACATTGATTATTGTAAACGAGGAGCAGAACGACGACTACAGACAGCGTCAACATCTTGTCTTGTCTTAAAAGTAACACAATCTGAAAACACAAAAACAAAAAGAATTTGACTATTCACTATTTTCCGATATACGAATAAATAGAACGAGATAAGAGATTCATCTTATGCTATCATCAATGGAAATCATTTGAAAAGAAATAAAGGACATCCTTCGTCGACAACTAAAATATGACGTTGTCTTTATGTCAGGTATTGTTATCAACAAATAGGATAATCTTTCAATCAAACGATTAAAAAAAAACATTCGCAATAAACCAGGAAGTGACTATATATAATGAAAAATCCTATTGGAAAAAACATCATTTTGGATTAAAATTTTCGTTTCATCAGATTGGCTCGATGATTTTTATGAATATGATTAGGAATATAATACAGTAAAATAACCAATGATTAACACCTACGTAAAATATATACTTCGTGATTTGACGAAGAAATTTTTACAGTAATCAAACCGCACCATAATGTACACTCTTGAAAGTTGCGGTTATGATTTTTTTGCAGGAAAGGAAATGTCTTGCAGTAGACATCTCCATATAGTTCTATGGAGAGTTCTTTTGAAAAATCTGAATGATATTCACGGTAGTTACATTTTCCAATATGTTAACAATTCTTAATTTACGAAGAACAAAAATGAATGAAAAGAGAGGTAACCATGAGAAGCAACTACATAACTATTTTATTCACTAACCTTCTTTATATACCTAGCAGTTATTGCACGAGAGCTATGACCAACATTGATCAACGATTTTCACCAATTTCGATCTTGATTGAGGAAGTAGATAGTACTACTTTATATGTGTGTACGTTAGTATTTTCAATCTTCAACACATTTTCATCGCTGAGAAATAAAGGTTTCATTTCTATTATCTAACGATAGGAATCACTATCCACGATATTTTTCTAAACTCTACCTTGTAAGCATGTCCAAAAGAATATACTTTGAATCTAACACAATATCATCATACACAAATACCGAAATCAAGGATATATAGCTAGCGTATCACATATATATATATATATATATACTTGACAATCAGCTATGTCGGGGAAAAAAAATATGATAAGTTTTCTCTCTATTGATCATATGTCACTTCCTTTTTTCTATATTCACAACATTGACTCGTGTTGTTTTATATGTTCTGTTTTTTAAATCATGACTTATAACATCACTCATGTAATATAAAAGTAGATTGCTTTAGGATAAAATAACCATAAACAGAAAAGAAATTCTCAATATATGCCATATATATTTTTATGATCATACCTGTGTGGTAAATGATAAATGCTTTTCAAAGTGATACATCAAAGGGAAGTGATTTTGTGATAGAATAATTATAGTAGAAATCTTATAAGCATGTGATGAATGCAATCAAAATATAATCAAAGCTTGTCCTTTTATGTTTGACATTTGTATGCTGTACTTTTTTTAACAGTTTCTTTTTTATGCACTAAAAACACAAGAAATCGATGTATTTATTCACGTTTCGAAGAAACGAAGTAGGATGTTTTTCTTGGTTGTTTGATTTGCTTTCGATAGGACTTGTTTTACAGTTGGGATGACATGCTTACTTTACTTTATAATTAGGTAAATAATGTAAAGCAAAATAAAATAATTATTAATTTACTAGTAAATAATTAATAAATATATATAATTATTATCCATCGAGCCATGATAAACCAATCGCATGTGTTCGTAGTCTTTGTAAGAATTGGTGGTACGCTGCTGAATTTCAATTGTTCACTCATCATTGTTCTTATGTTGAAACAAACAATTTTATTTATTCGTACAAATAAAATTCTTCGAAAAATGTTACCTGTCGATGATCATATCGATTTTCATAAATTTGTCGGTCAATTTATAACTGTACTAGCCATACTTCATACAATCGCCCATATGGCAAATTTTGGACGACTCACTAGTTTGTCATTTTTTTATGTACAAAGAAACCTTGAACTATGACGATTTTTCATCCTTTTTAGACCGACACCCATAGAGCTATTATATGGTAAGGGTGTGATAGACATTTTTAGAGTAATGACGAATGTTGTATCATCGTGATGCGTTTTGTAAAACTCATTATAATTTGATGGGTGTAATTTTACATACAATAATCTTTTTCTCATGTCTAATAGACATTTCTCCTTTATAGACAATGCTCTATTAGAAATAATCTTGCTTAAATCGAGATTTCCTAACCTCAGTTAGTTTCTTGTCGGAGAAAATAAGGAAAAAATCGTTCCGAAAATGGATTTCTTTGGTGCAGTGTAGTGATTATTTTGATTTTCAGTAGTGAACGTATGCGATGATGGAAAAGAAGCTGATGATGATTATTCAACAGGCAACAAAATAATAAGATCTGATCAGTTATGGATGTTCTTATTTTCTCTCACCGAATCACCAAATTTTAAGAAGTTCATTTGTTTTTTATATTCATTACCTTACAGTAATGCTTATGTCGAATCAGCATTTCCACAAATGAACCATTTAATAAATGATAGAAGATTTAGTATGACAACAGGGCTTATATTAGTTGAATTAAAAATACGGTTAAATTCTACCTTATTGTGTACTGAATTACATAAATATATATTAGGTAGTTAAGAATTATTACAAGTCATCAAATCAGATGAAAAATCTACATAAAAGAAGCATATTCAATAACTATATTTATTTGTCTAACTGTTTTTGTTCTTGATTTTGGTTAATAAATATCAGATTTCTTTGTAAAAATCCGTTGTTATAATAGTGAATCAAAACTTAAACATATCTTAATATCAAAAATATGCTTTCTACTTTTTTCTGATAAAACTTCTTGTCGATTTCTGCTTTTCAGAGTTTAAAAGGTGATAAGTTTGCATATGTTCTACCTTCCTGACATCTTTCATTCGGATCTATGATTGTGCCGTAGTATGCACTAATCAGATTCTTCTTGTTCTAAATCATAGACATATTATCAATCTAGGTCTTGATAACGCTAGGAACATAAGTTCGGAGTAAAACTTCACAGTAAAACAATATCTTCTATCTTTAAAGTTGATCGTAAAGCTAACTTTCAGGTGTATCTTAATTTGTACTGTAGAATGATTCTAGTCTATACAGGAATCAAATCACTTCAAGATGAATCATCTATTGTTAGTTGCAAGTTATGTAATAGTTTTTCACTGATAATACTGAACTTTATTGTAGTATATGAAACAAGACTCACATCTCACACTGAGTAAAAGAGAAAAAAATATCGCAATGAATACCGAAGACTTCAATTGTTCACAATTTCCATTTGGATAATTCATAAAAATTTTCATTATTAAACATATATTAGAATAAATTTTCTCTTCGACTATTTGAATAAAATATCATTAGTTGAGCTCATAAGAATCGTATTCACATATGCAACATTAGCTGTAGTTTAAGAAAAAAGAATATAACTATATAGATATTCTTTCTTTTTTTTTGTATTCGTACTTTTTGCTTTCATTATTCATTCACGTTTCATTCTTGTAAAGATATGTTGAATACTGTACTAAAAAGAATGTAATACTCTTCAGTTTCTTCTCCTATAAAATTCCATGTATATTCACATGAATGAGAAGTGAATGAATAATGAAAGTAAAAAAAAAGGAGCATTGAGGAGAAAAAAAATATTTATATATAAGCATATTCTTTTATTGTAAACTACAGTGGATAATGATACAAGGTCAGTGATCGTTGTAATCATTTGTTTAATAGAAATAATCAATTAAAAAAGAAATGATAAACTTGTATTACTGTGAATGAAAAAGGTAGATTATTTCGTTTATTTAGTTGTTAACAGAAACCTGCTCATCAACTACTTTTGAAGTCTCACGCTTCCGAACTTCAGGAATGGCATTACCCACATTGAGTCGATTGCAACTTACACCTGATATAAACATTTGTCGAGTTTTAAATGGAATGTGGCAAGTATCTGGTGGTCATGGACGTATCGATCCAACAGCTGCTATTCAAGAAATGTTTCGTTATGTGGATGCTGGCTTTACTACTTGGGATTTAGCGGATCATTATGGACCAGCGGAAGACCTCATGGGCGAATTCAGACGGCAGTTACTCGCTACTCGTGGTAAAGAAGCTTTAGGTAATCTAGAAGTCTTCACCAAATGGGTGCCGCAGCCAATAAAAATGACGAGAAAATTGGTTGAAGAAAACATTAACAAGTCTCTAATGAGAATGGGTGTAGAATCCATTGATTTGCTACAATTTCATTGGTGGGACTACCGTAACAACAATTATCTCGATGCTCTACAGTATATGTCGGAACTGCAGAAAGAAGGCAAAATAAAACATTTGGCTTTGACAAATTTCGATACTGAACGTTTAAAAATAATCCTCGAAGCTGGCATCAAAATCGTTTCGAATCAAGTACAATTCTCCATAGTCGACCGTCGTCCGGAAGTCAAAATGATACAATTCTGCCAACAACATAATATTAAACTGCTCACTTATGGTACAATCTGCGGTGGCTTGCTATCCGAAAAATATCTCGGTAAATCGGAACCACGAGGTGGAGACTTGACTACTGTTAGTTTGAAAAAATATAAGAATATGGTAGATCATTGGGGTGGATGGCAATTATTTCAAGAATTGCTTGTTGTTCTCAAACAAATTGCAACTAAGCACACTGTTAGCATTGCTAATGTTGCTGTGCGTTACATTTTAGATAAGCCAGCCATAGGAGGTGTAATTATCGGTGCCAGATTAGGATTAAGCGAACATTTGCAGGACAACGCCAGAGTATTCGAATTCAGTCTCGATGACGACGATCGTCAGCAGATCGATGCAGTATCTCAAAAATCACGAGATTTGTACCGCGCCATTGGTGACTGTGGTGATGAATATCGATAATGAAATTGCATTATGCTGTCTAATCGAAGCTCAATATTAGTCTTCAATCTTTTCTATAATGAACATTTTTCTTTTTTTTTTGTCGTCTCTTGGAGATTTTTCATTTTTTTTCTTTCTCTAAAGAAACGTCATAATCGTTTCAAATTTTCGAGGATCTAGTTCAATCGATAAGAATACCGTTTATTGTTCTGATGTACGTTTTTTTACATATTGCTGATTCATCTGCAAACAGCTGAGATACCTGTTTGCTCCAGTTTTGTGTAGTTTTATTCCGAACCCATGTAGTTATTGATGAAAATGACAACACAACTGCCAAAGATCGAATCTATCAATTGCACCTGAACTTGAATATGGATGAATGTAGAAAGCCAGCGGAAAAATGAAAGTCGACTTCATGCACTTATTACTCCTGAGTTGGTATTGTAAGCAGGGCTTCTTTAGCTGTATACTAACTGAGAATTATTTCGATCAAAGGACACATCGGTATGATCTATCTTCCATAAAGATGCTCATCTTATGTCTCTTACTAGCTAACAAGAAAAAAAGGATGGCAAATGGCTGATTTCTGAATCGGCTCTATTTTAGCAGGTCACGCGATTCATTGATTCTACATTTGAATTTATGCCTCTTTCTTCAATATTCCACTACTTCTCACTTGTGAGTAACTTTCGTGGAATCTTTACAGTGGATGTCTTTTGCATCAATTTCGTAAAGATTGTGTACCATACTAAGATTCGGAGAGACGATTAATCACATTGCGAAGATAGTTCGCAATGGTGCGGTTGAAAACTTATCGTAATATATTGAGTGAGCTCAAGTGTACATGATAGTCCTGGTGACGAATGCGGAATAATCTTTCATATTTTCTATCTCTGCGAAGGAAACTATATAGAAAGATGTGTAAGTTTCAATTTAATTGTTTTCTTCATTATCGGATAGTTATAAAAAACAAGAAATATCGTCTGGAGAGCGGATAGTTGTAGTGTTATTTGTCGATGGGTGTATTTGAGGGTTCTGATATCCATGAAATCAAATTAGAACAGCGACCTGTCAGACACGTGTAGTATTATGTGAGGATTTGTCCGAAATCAAACTGAATGTAGGTGTGGTAGTTGTACGATCTTGTAGACGCTGATCAGAATCAAAATTGAAAGGTATCTCAGGTACCGTGTTCGGTACATTCTTCGATTGGAGAGCCGAAATTCGGATCTGCGACTTTGACCCTCAAGAAACTCTATTTAATCTGAAAAATAGTTCTTTTGCAACGAGGTTCAGTTTTGATAATGGGAATCATACGATGTTCTTTGCAGTGTAATTTTATTGTCAGAATGCTGAGAAGCGAGCTTATGGATCATAGTGTTGTTTGCAGACAGAAAATACAAGGGATATGATTATCTCATGATCACTTTCTCGATTCGATTCGTTTCCACTTGCCTCTTTACTGAATTTCACTTTTGTGTGACGAAGAACGATGATATTTCAGAGATTTTATTAATGTTGCTAGCTATTTAAAACAAAATTCAACGAAGTTCGTCATTAAATAGGATTTAATAAAAAAAAAAGACATCGCTCTATACATTTCCATTTGCATTGTCTGATGTTTCATTTGAATAAAATATATTGACGAGCAATTCAGAAGAATGCGACCGTCATCGTAGTCTTCTTGCAGATAAATTTTCATTTACAAGAAACATATTATATTCATATTAGAAAGAAAAATAAACACAGACAATCTTCAACTTTGGCCTGTTCTTGTTCTTCGGCTATTAAACTATCTTCATTATGATAAATTAAAAATAAATCATGTTTGCAATACGAAACGATCGTCTCTGTATATTCATTTATTAAATATTGAAGGGCTTTGTCTTTAACTAAATAGGCATCATATTTGTCCATTGAATCATCATTAACATCAAATTCAAATTGATAAAGTTGAGCAAGTTCATCATAGATAAAATGACAAGCCAATTGTTTAGTATCGACAGCTTCTAAATCGAAATTGAAATTAATCAAAGGCTAGAAAGAAAGACATCTAATGATGAAACATGGCTTGTTTAAATCACAACAGAAATCGATTTAAATCAGAAGAAAATCAAGAAATCCCATTTTAATTACGAACAAATCACGCTATTTAAATTAACTTTCGAGAAAAAATAATCGGTTTTAATCTGATTTTTCCGCTAACGTTCTCTGTTTCGATCGATTGTCCGCACTTGGATGAATTATAGGGCTTTTGCAGAGAAAGCGTGTGCTCTAATCTTTTCATTTGCAGTATTCCTGCAACAGTTTTAGTGGTACTACGACTATTATGATCTTTATTAACTTTTTATCTGTCTTCAAGACCAAAGTCATCTTGCTATCATCTTCGATTACCCTCTGGTAGACTGTTTGTTAATGCGCTCGAAAACACCAGATGCAAAACCTTTATTCTATATTTTATCTTTATTTATCAAATATAAAGGATTTATTTATCTTTATTATAAATGATCAATAAAAATAAATGAACACCCATACTGCGTCGAGAATTCTGGATTGCAAAATTACTCGATTTTACATACTACGCGCCATTTTTGTTGACTTGCTCTTCTTGGAAGAGTAGATGAGATTAAAATTCACTCATTAGAAGACCCAGGTCTTCTAATATGTCTGAGCGTATCGCGTACACTATTAAAAAAATGAGTAGAATAATAAATCTCTGTTCTATGTACAAATTTTCATGAATCCTTGAAGGATTTATGAGACGAAGAGTTTATGAAAGCAAGAGTATATGAAACTAACAGGAATTTATCATATTGGAATTCAAGGAGGAGAGTTTATTATTCTACGACCAAGGGTTTAATATTTCACGCTTTCAGGACAAGAGTTTACTATCCTATATGGTAGGATTTATTGTATCTCTTTTTCATGAAAATAGTTTATTATAATAGGTTTTTAGTTAAAGAGTTTTTTCTTTTCTTTGGAGGAGTTTATTATTAAATTATATCCTTTTGATTTCGATTTCATCTCGGCAACAGATTCAATCTTATTTGTTTATTTAAATATATATTATGGATTTTTTTATTTACGTTTTTAGATTTATTGAACTAGCACATCCGATGGTGGATGCTTATTTCATACAAAAATCATACTTTTCTTTTGTTTAAACTTATTCCAGCAAGAGATCGAATGATGAATATTTATTTAAAGTTAATAATTTATGATTTTTTTTTATTTAAATTTATCGAAAGAACGAATTCCAAGGTACGTATCTATTATATCAATAATTTTTTTTTATTGTTTTAGATTTATCTTACTTCAACAATGTAGTGGTAAGTTTAATTTTTATGACCGACCATTCATATGCCCGTGCAAAGGGTATATGAGAGGTAGTTTAATCTCATAAACCCTTATAAGGATTTATGAAAATCTTGACATACGGTAAAAAGGGTTTGTTATACGTTGCACTTTCATAAACCGTTAAAGGATTTATGATTCTACCCTTTTTTATATCTTCATGATAGCTAATATAAAAATTGGAGACATGAGGTTTAGAATAATGAGCAGTGGTGTAAAATGATTATTTACGACTTTAAATTTGCTGCAGTTCGATCTGATGTAACACACATCATACGTGAACATAAAGAAAGAGCAATCAAACCACGGATTGATGAAGGAATTCGCTATTCTGAGAAAAAAAAGAATGTATCTCATCTGCCGAGTAGAAATGAAGTTGCTAACTGTTCATAATGTGGACGAGATTTTAAAAATAAATGAGATTTGAATATACATCAGCGAACCTACGCAAAAGAAAACGACTTAAAGATTCGTTAGGTAGTTCTATAACGAATGTTCTTTCTCATCGAACTATATTAACATCGACGCAAGAAACCACTACTTCACGACAAACAAAAATAGAAGAACTACTAAAGAAAAATAATACGAATGAATATGTATCTCCAAATAAAAGTTGTGACAAACTATTAAAACCTCAAGGAGCTACAGTGCATGTGCTAAAGCATGACTGAAAGAACAAAAATTTCGGACTTCGTGACCAAATCTGAGTGTAGGTTACTGTGTTTTATGATGACTGTCAATGAAACCAGATTTGCCTACGATCTGGAGGTGGTAAAATGATGGATGATATAGTAATCTTTTTCTCAGAGGCTCATCCATCAATTTCTATGATCCAAATGTGATACACTGATTTCTTTGTTATTTTTATTTTATCTTTATTTTTTGTATGTGTTTTGTTTGTTTTTATTTCTTTTAACTCTGTACTCAGTTCTGTCACTTCTGTTTGTTTTTCGCCTAAACTGGTTCTGCCAACATTGGCAGTCAGTCTGTCTGTCTGTCAGCCATCTTATCAAGATGTTGTTGTCGATGATGATTAATGCATACACAACTAGATCTTTGTTCGCAAGAGACTACCGAAATATAACCTCTATGATAAATTTGGTATTAGTAATTCAAATAATGCTTCTTCCGCTTTCTGAAACATATTTTTTTGTCAATATGAACGGATGAACCATGAAATATGGGAGATAGTGCTACTACAAAAAAAAAGACAAATATTGACTAAAATAAATAATTCTATCATAAAAACAAAATGTAGATATGTTGGTTAATTTTATTAAATATAATATATATGTGATCGGTCCTGCTTGATGAATGATTTTTTTCACCTAGTTTTCTAGTTTCTTGATGCTGTAGACTCTTCATTTCGCTAAGGAGTTATTTATTTTCCTTCTCCACTGGATACAATGAATTGCTTGTGGCCAGCTGATATGCCATCGCACATCAATTAATAGTTTCTATTGTTTGATGTCGCTACTATTCGAACTTCATTTCTTCAACAAGAATTAAATCTAATTCAATGAAATGGACTGAATTACCTAAAGAATACATAAATCAACCACCATATGGATCATTTCGTAGACTAATGAAGACAATATGTTGTATTATGTGTTGGAGGATGTTGATTGGATGGATGCGATCATTTCTTTGATCTTCTTCGTGAGCATTACTTAGAAGAAACATGTACTAATTATTGAGCTCCGTAATTATTTCAATTCGACTCATCATTATATCACAATATAATATGCCAATTAAATAAATATTCTCAATTTAATCGTTTTCTCAGCTGTATGTGAAGAAACGGTAAACGATTTCAAGAATGGCATTCTTGATTAACGACAGAGGTCCGAAGAAAATAAGGATATAATTGTAAAGTTCAATATATCTTAAGAATTACTTGTAATATTTTCATGTTTAGTTAAACTCGATTCACATAAAGAATCTTATCTAGAGATATATTTCTAATAGATGTCATTTGTACATTATAATCATCATATTTTCTTGGATGCAAATTGTTGATCATCTATTTACTTAATAGAGATTGTTGAATGCAGTTTTGGTATATATATTTTATAATGCAGAGAATATTCACATATTATTCTCGTTATAAAAACTTACTTTTTATTAATGAAAAAAACAAGATTTATTTTTTTATGTCTTTCTAATAAATATTTTTTTTTCTTCAGTTTAGTCGATCGACTTATCATTTAACGTTTTAATATCATCTTCTATAAAAATTCTTTCAAACACTATCTTTTATTCGATTAAATTTTATGAATTTGTCTATTTTTAGCTTGCTTTTTTGATATAATTATTCATCGAGACAAACATGCTTGAAATATCTATGACACGCCTTCAGCCTTGTTATGCGATAATACTGCTACCATAGTGGGTTACAGCATATAGAAACTTGTCTTATTCTGTACAAGATGTTTGTTAATGTATCACGATGATTCATTTCATTAATAATATGAATAACATGATTTTGAAATCAAAATAGAAAATAAATTGTTGAATCAACAATAATTTGTTTAGATTAATAGAATAAGTTTATTGATTGAAAAAGCAGATGTTTATTCAAGCTATCGTTCGAAATAAAATCTATTCACTTGATTTCTATTCTCATTATTATAAGTAATGTTCTTCAGCAAAAAAAAGAATGCTTTTTTATTTTCGAATAAAATTTTGTCCTTCATGAGCACAATACCGATATCATGCTCCGTATCGCAATAGCATCTATCTAACCTCAATATAAATATACAAGCAATTTAGAGAGAGAGAGGGAGTCAAAGAAAGAGAGAAAGAAAGAAAGAAAGAAAGAAGGAAGGAAGGAAGCAAGTTATAGCTAGAATGGTTATTCCCAATTCTGCTCATCTACTGCTTAATACTATCATTTTTAGACAGAAAGGGAGAAAAAAAAATATCCTACATAAACAGCACAGTATATTGTCGATAGAACAAGTCTTGTACACTCGCTTGTTCCGTTCGGCCTCATCTCAACACCAGAAAATCGGGCCAGTTGTGCGGTATTTATTTATGTGCGGGCACATCGCATTATATGTATAAGAAAATATATCTGGTACCAAACCGAGAACATTGCACTTTTCTTTCTATCGTTTTTGTACAGAAAATGCGTATTTGTATATGATGTACAACTCAGTCGTGTATACAAGAGAAGTAGAAAAAGGTCGTTAGTATGTAGTATGTTTTATATTACTGGTTTAATAATCAATAGATCCAAATGGTGAATAATTCAGTAGGAGAGAGAAATTTCGAAATATTAACTATGAATAAAAATTAGTCAGATTTACTTAGATCCAATGACTATAGAATGATTAACCCCTTTTATGAATAGACACTATCTTTTTGTTATTCTAAGAAGGAGAGAATAGAATGGATGACATCCTAATAATACTTCCAGAATATTCTAGACAGTGCACAAATACATCGAGCAAGAAATTGCGCATCGATGCATTTTATTAGGAATGTATATCCGTGTATCAATATATATATGTATATATATATGTATATTTTTCTATATATTTACTGATCAATTTTAGATTTCTTTCATTCCGCTTCGCCATTTCTTAAATTATCACGATGCCTCGTGAAAATATACCAAAATCAGCAACGAAGAAACTTCAACAATTCTTCACCAAAACACTTGGTAAAAAAAAACTACGAAATTTTATTTAAATAATAATTATCAATAATTTTACTTATTGATAGATACAAATAATGATGGTCTTGTCAATTGGACTGACTTTGAAGCTGCTATTGAGGTGATATTTATGACATTGTTATAGTAATGTATTAATAATGTTTTGTTTTTCTTTTGTTATGTGTATAGTCTATTGTATCAAAAGATGAAGCTGCAAAAAATGCTCGATTGAAAGTTTTACGTAAACGTCTTGAACAACATTTTCAAAAATACTTTTGGGATTTATGTGCTGTTGGTGATGCAAACAAAGATGGAAATATTGATTTAGGTATTTTAACATGTTAAAAAATTACCTTTTTTTTTTCTAAATATTTTTTATTTTAAAAAGATGAATGGCTTGATGTTATGAATGATATCATTGGTGGTTTAAAAGACAAAAATGAATTTCCTGAATGGTATGAAGGATTACATAAAGCTCTTTTTCGTGCTAATGAATTTATGGGTAATTGAATATATTTCTATTTTTTTTTTATTTGACTTTTTCTCATCATTTTTGTCTTTAGATGAACGAGCTGTATCAAAAGCTGAATTTGCTAATATGCTTATTTCATGGGATATTGAGGAAACAAATGCTGAAAAAGCTTATGACTTTATAACTGAACATGGCAAAAAGAAAATGGATTGTATGTAGAAATAATTATATTTTGTTCTTCTTTTTCTTTTTTTCTTTTTAATTTATTTCTTATATTTGTTTTAGATAATCTCTTTTCGGAATTTATGAAAAAATTCTTTCTTAATGAAGTACCAAAACATCCATTAAATCTTGGCCTTGATTAAAAAAAGAAAGAGAGAGACGTGACAAATCTTTCTATATCCTTCTTTTTTTTAATGCTCTTGAACCTAGACAAAATCAAACAAAACCTATTATTTAATATACTTATTCACTTTGCTTTACTTTATTTGTGTGTGTTCTTTTTTTGAAATGAAATAAATGCAGTTTTTTTTTTTCGATTAAACGGAATAATTAAAGTTTATTCATATCGAAGTTTTGATTCATATCGATTACGCATTTCAGAAAGTCTTTTCCAATATTGTAATTCTAAACTATTATGAATTTCTTGAATTTGTTCAGCTAAAAATAAGAAAAATAAAAATGAGAAGAAAAAAAAAGAAAATGATTTCTTTTGTTTTTCCTTACTTGTGATTGTATGTAATTCATTTAATGATATACGATAAGAACGACGAGTTTCTTCAAGATTTTTTTCATATTTCATGCGTGTTGTTTGAAGAGATAATTCAATTTTACTGGTTAAATCAACAAGTAATTGTTGAAACTATATATTTAAAAGAAACACAAAGAAAACAGAATGAAATTCAAAATAAATAGTCGTTTTGTTTTTGCTTACTTGATCATTGAAACTATTTATTATCATTTGGATTTCATCTCGTATTTGATGACTATATGAAAACATTAAAATTAGACTTTCATTAATTATTTAACTTACTCATCTAGTAGAACTTGATTTGTATATTGTGGTATCTTAATGAAAAGATAGATTTGAATAAGACAAGAAATATAGTATCAGATTTTACTAGCAGTATTTGAAAAGTTTTCTTATTCATGTGAAATAATGTGATTATTAAAACAATATTCATTTCATATGAGGATTCTTTTAAAATAATTATTAAAAAAAAAACAGAATATAACTTGATTAACTTAATAGTATTTTTGATCACAAAATGTTTTTTTTTCAGCATTCATTTCATATTATTATTTCTTAATAAATTGTACGTGTTGCTCTAGAACGATTAGTTAAGGGTCTTGTTGACCTGGATAACAAGAAAAGTATGGTGTGCAAAGGAAATAATATATATATATATTACACTATTAATCTAGAAAGCAATATTTTTAAACTGGTATGTAGCTTTTCTACAAATCCGTGCACCTCATTCACTAATTGCATTGATCATACATTACTCTGTTTGACCTCTGCAAACGAAATTCAAAATGTACATGAGGAGTTGTGTGTATCATATAGAAGTGCCCAAGATAATGAAAAATTACAACTCGAAAAAAAAAATTGATGATCAAAAAAAAATTTTGTTTTAAGATAATATAGTCTAAATTTATGAAAAAAAAATCATTTACTGGTATAGAATCTTGATTTGATATAGGAAGAGTATTTGAAATATGATGAGACTGTCTTGTATTAATTGATTGTTTTTGTAATGGTGAATTCATCAGAAATGAATTCGACGATGTTGGAGAATCTATTGATGATTCTAATCGTCTATGTGTAGGATTTTTTGATTGTTGTGTAGAAGGAATAATGGATACTGTTGATGAGTAAATATTCTTCGGTATGATTGTTGTTGCTATTTGAGATGTGCAATGAAAATCAGGCATAATTGTAGGAAGTGAAATAGATGATTGTGTTATTTGATGTTCATCTTGATCGATTGGTTCTGATTTCATATTAAGTATTTCAACTGATGTTGTTCTTGTTAATGATTGCTTTTGTTGTGTTGTTATACTATTATCATGTATTTCAGATGGAATGCTTTCAAAACTATTCACACTAGAAGACGAAAAAAAAATCAAGGGACTGAAAAAAAAAGAATAAGATAGATATTGAAATATACTTTGATGGACTAACTGATAATGGTCTTAATGGTACAAATGGTAATAATAAAGAAAGTGATTCATCTAATGATGAACATGTGATAAAATTTGAATTCGTATTTTTCGGAATAATATAATGTTGTAAATTAGATTTTCGAGTTTTTTTTATTCTCATATATTCTTCAGGTAAGTAAGGTTGTTCTGACATTTGATTTTTTACAGGTAATATATTCACATTTGTATGAATGTCAGATATTGATTCATATGTTTCAACAGAATCAAGTAATGCATTCATTGATGATCTAACATCGGATGTAATAAGATTGATTGTTGGTGATTTACATTTAATATATTTTCGTAATAATGCTTGAATGCGTAGTTTATTATCTGTAGGAGAAATAGATCGAAATTTAAATGGAATTGATGATATTCTAAAAAAAAAACAAAGAAACTAAATGAATAAAAAATAATTTTTAATTTTTACTCATTATCATTTTTGGTTTGATTTAATATATCAAATACATTTAATGTTGATTGTAATTCATGACCTTCTTTTGAAAAAAGATTTTCATCGATATGTTTAGATGAAACTCTTTGACGTTTAACTAATTGTTGATTGTCATATGAATTTTCATTAGAACGTTTAACAGACTTTTTTTTATTTGACTCAGACGATGAATTTTGAGTTGAATAACGTTGTTGTTTTGAATGTTTAATAGATGAATGAAATGTTTGATTGCTATTTGTAACTGTTATATAAGAAGGTAAAATGGAATCTAAAGAGAAAAATCAACACATGTCCTACATTAGAGCTGCTGTATTGACTCATACATTTTGGAAATCAAATTTTTATCACTTCGTTGTATGGTTGATCATATATATATATTTTTTTGTTATCAGGATTAGATTTTTTTTGATGGTACGAAATAGTACTGATATAATCAAAAATATTTTATTAATTCAAGTCTTCTTTTGTATGAAAAATATTTTTGCCTAACTTATCTTTATGGAAATAAATTCAAAGCGAATAACTGAAACTAGAATGATAGATTAATGCAGAGTTATAGAATTAAATATATACGAAAAATTTACAACATCAATTGACCTGTTGGCAGCTCTGATACACATTTTTAACGGCCTCTATTGTGAACATCATGAAAATCATTAAAGATGTTCAGCTTAGGACATTGATGCATGATTCGCTGTATAGTGACGAAAAAGTTTTTAGGATATCTGTGTTCACATTATTCTTACATAAAAGTTTAGTGATTTAATCTCTTGTTCATCTAAATGTTTTGAATTTAAAAAATTATTCAACTACAACACAAGATTTTATTTTATTTCTTTTTGATACATTCTTCGATCCTTTTTGTCTTTTGGTTTTTGAATTAATATCAACATCAATTAGTTTTGATAATTATTTTCATTGTTTATTTATAACCTAAGCTCGTGTGGTGATAGCATTATTTTCTTCATACATACAATAGTGGATTCATAGATAATGTGTACTGAGCTGTAATACTCATCAGACAGGTGATAGGCAGTAGCAAGAGATCGAAAAAAAACCCATTATATGTGTCTTCACATATAAGAGAAACCTTAAAAAAGTTAATTTTAAATGACGACATTATTCACAATGGATGTACTGAATCTGACTTCTTTTGCCTCTATAAAAATCTTTATTTTCTATCTACTATAGTCTAAAATCGAAGAAAATCTAACTTCTTCGTTTTTAGTCTTTAAAAATTATATTTAATAAAATATTCCTACCATCGATAATTGAAACGAATTTGAAAGGTTTTGTTTTATTTAATAATGTTTGTGGAGGTGCATATGTAAAATGTCCGTAAAGTTTTTTTAATTGATCAATATGAATTTGTAATTCAATAAGACTTTTTTCAAAATTAATATTGGATTTTTTCTTATCTGAACCTGGATATTCTTTCGATAGAACAAAACAATTATTAAGTGGTATCCATGCTCTATAGAAAGAACAAAAAAAAAACCACCAATATGATTTGTATAGTTTTCATTTCATATATCTATATATATATATACCGATCATGTTGACCAAAAAAACGAACATCAACTTCATCATTAACAATACGTAAAACTTTTGCTGGCCATGGTTGATAACTTTTCATTTTAGCCCAACATAATGTATGTGGAATAGCACATGGTTTAGTAAACCAATCTGTTGTTATAGATTGTGTACTACGTAAATAACATTCTGAACAAAGTTCAATTTCTGTCATTTCATGGCGAGCAATTTTAAGAAATGTACGTGCAATACTAGTTAATTTACTTTGATCTAAAATATAATAAAATTTTATTATTATTTTTATCAATTGTTTAAAGATTATATTTACTTTCATGATAAATAATACTATTATGTACAATCCATTTAATATCACTAATAAATGCTTCAGTTGAACGATATTTTTTTAAATTTATATTTTTTTCTATAATTTCTAAATCCATTGGATGAATGATATAATCAAGATATTTAGGCATTTGTTTGTAATCGATTGATCGTATAAAATGTTTAGACTTTGAAAAGAAGTCAAATCTAGATTGATTTTAATAATTATAATTAATTTGCTTACTTACTTGAGGATGTAACTGCAATCGTCCAAGAGCATATTTAAGCATTCTATGAAATTCATTTATTGAATGATGTTGTAATGGTATTGATTGATTTATTATATAAAATGATGATTGAGTGATCTAAAAGACAAAATAAATTGAAATCGAAAATGTTGATTTTTAACAAAATGAAAAACATACTTCACATTCTGGACATGTCCAATTTCTCTCAGGTAGTACAGTCAAATTAAGACATTTTAAATGATATACACGTGGACAGGAGTCACAACGAATAACATCTCCTACATGATGACATTCAAAACAATAAATATCATGATGATTATTCTAAAATAAAATTCAAATGAACACAAAAATGTATCGATGAAAAAATTTTCTCTAACCTCATCTGTTGTTTTTTTTAATTTAACACATGACGTATTATTATTTGATAAATCCATAAGAATTATTAATTTTTGATTTTTATCTAAAAAATGTAATCATTTTACGAAAAAAAAGATATCATTAATATAACTATATGAAATTTATCACTAAATTATTGTTCATATGTGATACTTTTATATAACAATATATTGAAGGTTTTTTGTTAATATTCGAATGAGTATTGTTCTATTGGAGTGTACAATGATAGGAACGGATACATTCTTGCATATTTTGTTTCGTTATGTTGCCTTGCCCACGTTCGTATTATAAAGAATGACAAAAAGTCGTGTTTCGTATGTAACTTCGGGGTAAACAGAAAAATGAAGAAAGAATGAAAAAAATGCGTCAGTATGAAACAGAATTAAGCGTTACACTTCGGTACATATGAATAAAATTTTAATAAATATCTATGAGTTTTAGTTTTATAATGAATGGAGAGAAAAACTAAAGAAGATAGATTTTTATTTGGTTAAAGAGTAGTAACATTTCTTTAGTAATTATTTCATTAAAATGTTCTAATAAAGAAACACATATCATTAGTTACTGATGCATTGTATATCGTATGATGGACATTAACCACGCTACATTCTTCATGATCAAATGATGACCTCATAGGTTTGCACTCAGACTTTTCTTTTGAAATCAATCTTCGCGATACACATAATACTAGTGGCGTAACTAACGAAAGAGGGGTCTAAGTTCTCTATCGGAGCTTTGAACGCCTCTACCAGTGGAAGCCACACTAGCTTAACTTTGCACAAGTCTCTCTGAGCTAACCCTTCGTCCCTCACTGTCACCTTATGGTAGCTTTTTTTTATATGAGAAAGGATTGTTTAACTTTAGTATTTGCAATCAATGCATAGCTTTTATTTCTATGTTGATAATAAGAAAGGTAAGAAAGCTATATTTAAGTAAAATTTTATGACTTTAATATTTGTTATCTGTTTTGATAAAAGTCATGTGAAAACTACACATGATATTCAAGTTTGATAAATGTTAGAAAAGCAATGAATATTAAAATGATGTGATAGGAATGTACTAAAACTGGCTATATTACATTTACTGGAGAAACAAATGGCGAGAATGGCATTGGCTGTTATAAAATATTAGTAAGAACGAGTATTTCTAATGTAATATAAAACGACTTGTTGTAAAACTTCGATAGAGGTTTCAGCTTCTTATCATTATAAAATATGTTCAAAAATATATCAATTAATAACCCATATCATCAAAATCACGATTGTTTAAATACAGGGTTGTCCTTGAATAGCACTATGATAAAAAATGAAATATCTTTACAATGGTTCAATCAAATGGGATGATTTTTTAGTTAGTGGTAGAAGTTTGTTCAAAGTCTTTTTTTTTCATACGGATAAGATAAGCAAATACTACTGTTAAGTATTCTAGTGGGTATCATGAAAGTAATTTTACCTGTTATCAAATAAAAAAAATACATGTGTAACATTTCATAGATAATTTTCATTGTCGTCTAAGAGAACAATAATAACAAGTAAAAACGAAGTTTATGAATGATTTTGTATTGATGCACATAGATCAAATTTTAAAACTAATTAGTTTAAACGTCAACGGTTACAAAATTTCAAACATGGAACACTGATTTTTGCAAAAAAGCTGGTGTTTTCGTACCCAAAAGGCTGCAATTGTGTGTTTTATTTATGGGTTACGGATTTCAGCAATTAAACGAACTAATTAGTCTCAAATTATCAAGGTAAGCATCATGGAAACTTAAAGAGAATAGTTAAAGTAGAGATTTTTCCACGAAACAAGAGATTTGTTTAAGAAAAGAACGATTTTTTTTTATAAAGTTTGATCCAAGCTTTTAGCAGTTGAAGAATCCAAGTCTGAGATTGATTTTTCAAAAATTTCAAGTGTCAATTTTACCACAACATTATTTTTGCTAAGAAATATTTTTTAACAAAAAACATTTTTTAAAAAAATTTTTTCTTTAAAAAAAAAATATTTTGTTAGAAAAACAGTTTTGTGGTAAAATCGAACTTAAAATTTCGAAAAATCGATTTTACATTCGGATTCCTCGACACCTAAAGCCTTCGGTCAAACTTTATATAAAAAAATCATTCTTTTCTTAAAAAGACTCTTCTTTTATGAAAAAATCTCTACTTTCACTGCATTATTAAAGCTCCTCTGATGCTCCCTTTGATAGTTTGAAACACTAATTGAAATGCTTTGATAATAGACAAAGAAAGAAATAAGTTTGTATACTTGAGAGGCTTCTTTTTATGTATTTTTTTTTTATTTTTCCGAATTTTTTAAAAGTTTTTATAATCTCTAATAAAAGTATCAATAGAGTAAAAATGTAAGCTTCTCGTCTTCTTTAGCAATTGTAATTTTGTTTTAGCGAAACTACACGCAACCGCATCGCATTTCGACCGCAATTGAACACATGGGTGTGCTTTGCATTCCACTTTTTCATTGCTTATTTCGCTCTCTTATCAAAACAAAATGTATTGATATGGAAATTATTAATCCAACTAAATACAGTTAATTATTAAAACATGATACAAGACTATTTATATAAATTGTATCGAATTTGATTGTTTTTTTGTTTATTTTACTCTCATATTTGCAGTATTTTCTCTGGATTGATTACTCTTTTCACTCGTTGTATGACGTGAATCAAACAACCAAGTTGTCAGTTGTCGAATAATTATTGTATAATTATTACTTAAGGAATTATTTAATAGTATTTGTGAAGAAACATTTGAAGATTTTGTTTCAGTAGATGATGATGATGAAACAATTGCTGGTTGATGAAGGTTTAATAAAAACTAAATTTAAAAAGTAATTTTAAATGAATGTTATAGTTTGAGAAAAAAAATGATTTTGAAACTTTGAATTAAAGATGAATGCTTCAGATTTTTTTGCTGGTCCTGTCCTGAGATACAATTTTAACAATAGTATATTCTAAAGACTGCTGATGTAGTCGTTAGCATCATCTTTAAACGTCGATTATAAGATTTCTATTGAAAGTTTTGTCCGTAGATAAATTTGAGATTCAATAGAATATTTTAAAGATTTAAGCTCAATCGATGAATAAAAACTTTAAAATAACTTACCTCGTATATGCATTGAGTATAGATTTAAGATATTAAACTATTTCTTTAAAATTTCTTGACAAATCATGCGTAGGAATAACAATGTTGTGGAAAGTAATTGTTCAAAAACATCATTCTGCGATAGGTTAAAAAAACATTTGTATATTTGATATTCTGAACGTATTCCTCTGAGTAATTTCATTATTGATGAATTATTTCCAAAAATAGTTAATGGCGTACGATTAACTTTTTTTATCATTATGTGTTTTCAATGTCGTTGAATCTGTAATATCAACGTTATTTCAATCTTTTTGATTCCGTTTATAAAGAATAAACAAATGAATTCGTTTCAATGTGCGAAAAATTCTCTATGAAATTCAGGTATCTTTCCCTAAATCCAAGACTCGATCAAAACATTTTCTATTTGTTGACGCGATGTAGGAATTAGTGAAAAATTTATTTTCGATGCTTGTGAATTTAATGGACTTGTATCTTCAATAAAAAAAAGCAAATATAGACAAAACTCTACGAATAAAAACAATATTTTCTTGAATGTTTTTTTCAAAAAGAAAAAAAGAAATGGTTATACTTGATTGAGGAATGAAAAATTTTCTCTTCTGATTGAATATCATTCATATAATTCGCATTATTTTATAAATCTTTAAATAAGAAAAAAAATTAAGAAAAAACATAATGAATATCTTTTTCCTCTTAACTTAGAAAAGATTAAACTAATAATATCAATTAATAATTGCAAATAATTGCAAATAATCAAGGTAATGTAATAGAAATGGATGTTTAAAAGAATGTATAAATAAACAACGTTCAACATATCGATTATGAAGAAATGGCCGAATTATTGTTGATCTTTAAAGACTTAAAAGAGCATAAATATCCCTTCTCTATATTCAGGCTGAAAAATAAAAAAGTAATGAACCTGATAAGAGTCATAAATAACAAACAGTTTGTATTTAAATTGATGTTTGAGTTAAACGATCAAATATTTAAGCCGATAAACATGATACAAGGGGGAAACAGCGTACTCCCGTACTTTGGAGTACGAGGAGTACATAGAGTACGGGGAGCACACGGAGTACAGCAGGAGTACATCGCATGTAATATGAAATGGGCTTAGTAATTATTGAAAAACAGACTTGCAATTTTTGTGAAACACGATCTAAAAGGAGTGTTGACACGGGGAAAAGCCGATTATCGGATCCCGGGATTCTATGAACCCTCCGGATCGCCATGGGATTCTCTGGATCCTCGATATGAATATTCCCTTGACTGTAGTTAAGATCTTAATCCTGAATTTGAAGATGTGTTTGTATACGTATTCTTTTCTCTCCAGGGTACTATTTTGAACCTACCTCAAAACAAAACAAATTCTTAGGATATCCTAGGTCCTCAATCCCTGTATTTTGAAGGTATCTCTAGGTCGTCAAGTGCTATATTTTTGAGGTACCCTTAGGCCTTCAAGTCCTATTGTATAGGGGTACTCACTGGTCCTCAAGAACTATCCTATGGGGTACCCATAGATCCTCAAGGGCTTCCCTATGAAGGTACTCATAGGTCCTCAAGAACTATTCTATGAGGATACCTATAGGTCCTCAAATTCTACTATATAGGGTACTCATAGGCCCTCAAAGCTATCCTATGGGGTACTCTTAGGTCCTCAAGGCCTATTCTATGGGGATGTCCATATGCCTTTAAGTCCTATTATATAGAGGTACCTATTGGTCCTCAAGAGCTATCCTATGGGGATACCCATAGGTCCTTAAGTCCTATTATATAGGATACCCTTAAGTCCTCAAGTTCTATTATATAAGGGTACCGATAGAACAGCACTTGAAGACCTATGGGTACCCTATAGAGTAGCCTTTGGACACCTATTAGTATCTTCGTAGGATGGCTCTGGAAGACCTATGGGCGCCCCATAGAGGAACCGTTGAGGGCCTATGGGTACCCCTGTAGGATAGCTCTTGAGGACTTATGGGCACCCCGATATAATAGCTGTTGAGAACCTATGTGTATTCCCATTTAATAGCTCTTCAGGACCTATGGGTACCCTCATACGATAGCTCTTGGGGACTTATGGGTACTCTATATGATAACTCTTTAGACCTATGTACACCTCCATAAAATAGCTCTTGAAGACCTATGGGTACCCTCATAGGAAAGACAGATGAAGACCCAAGCAACCCTCCGAGAATAGGCAAATAAGCACCTAAGAAAACCCCCAAAGATTGGTGTGACAAGCTCATTAGTGTCTCACCCCTAGTTCTATGAGTCGATTGATACGCAATCTCGAATTCTTAACTGGAACTGGAATACCCTTACTCTGAATCCTTTTGATTCCCAATGTATCCTCTGGATTTTCGACGTATCCAGTGTATTCTCCGTATCCCCATCATACTCTCTGGATCCCCACTGTATCCCGGATAGTCGAAATCCGCTTTTACTCTTTGAGTATTGAAGTACAAAGGGGTAGCAATTAGGATTTCCATAGGCCTTGACATACAAAAGTCTGAAACGGTCTAGAAAGTTGCAGAATAGCTTAAGGATTGTTATAATCGAGATACCGTTTCTCGTTGCTAGAGAAGTCTACCATTGGCTATTGATCCCTTACTCCGTTTGTATAGAAACGTACTCGTAGATCTTTGATCTTTAATCTTTAGTCTTTAGCTTATAATCTTTGACCTTTAGTTTTTGACCATTAACCTTTGAACCCAATTGATAAGGTCTGTGTTGGAAAGGGTATAGGAATTTGAGCTCTCCACAGACCAAAGCAGATTCTGTTTGCCGACCATCACAAACCATAACAGAGAGAGACTACAGACCATCGCAGACCGTAACAGACAGAGGCTGCAAATGGACGAGGGAACGGCGTACTTCCATACTTTCTGTTGTACGGGAGTAAAGGGAATACGGGAGTACGCCGTTTCCTCCTTGAAGGAAACAATTATAAAACTAAGAAGCAAAATTAAAAACAGTATGAGCCAATACTTCATGTACGCTCTATTGTACAATGTTGTACTCCCGTACTCCCGGAGTACAGGAAGTACCAGGAGTACATGGAGTACGAGAGTACGCCGTTCCCCCCTTGCGTGAAATACAATTCCATTAATCACCTTCATGTCGAACACTATCAACAATAATATCATATACAACTAAGTCTAATACTGCTAAAACTAAAAACAAGAATTCGAACAACAATTTATTTTTCTTGAAAATATTACTTGTGAAGAAATATTTGAAGATTTTTATTTCAGCAGACGGTGATGAAAAGATTGCTAGTTCATGAAGATTTAATAAAATCTAAATTAAAAGAATATATTTAAATGAATTAGACCTTTTCCCTGTTCTTATTCTAAGATAAATCGACAGACGTGATACTTTCATCAAAAAGAAACTATTTTCTTTAAGATATTCCAGAAACTTTAATTATAAGATTTTCATATAAATTTGACTACGTGAACAAGTTTCAGATTCTATACAACATTCTAAAATTTTTAGCTTAATCAATAAATAAGACATTTGAACAAAGCTACCTCTTGTGTATATTGAATAGTTGGGGCGTGGATGTGAATTTTGTTATTTTCTTCAACCCACGCCCTACATATATATATATAAGATGAATTGTTTTTTTCGACGACGACATGATATTGATGCACGTCGAATGAGAAAAAAATTAAAGAAACATACACATATCACTACATATAAATTAATCATGAAATCAATTATGTAGTGTTACGTGTTGAACATATCAATTAATAAATACGTGGAACATCAAATCACGTGTGTGGAATGATTGATAAAAAGTCAATCAAAACGTTGAATATTGAACAATTAATCATACGGTATATAAAAACATCAATGCATCATCATAAAACAGCACATTCGCGTTTTCTCAATGTGATGCATTACAATGTAATTATATACCCGAGTACATTTTTTATTATTATTATATTATTTATAATGATAATGATATCATTATATTTCAAATAAGGCAAACTACTTGTCTTTATATTTAACAATACTTTTTTTGTTTTCTTTTTTTAGATGAGCTACAACACAATACAATACAACATTGAGAGGTAGGAACAAAATTTTTTTGTTTGAGTCAAGGTTGACTGTTAAATTGAGGTTATCTCATATATGTAGAAGCACGTATGAATATATGTAAGATTGAGTCTTTAAAAAAGTTCCGGATGGAATTAATTTTTCAAATCTATGCATATATATGTACATCCATAATAAGTGATACATTGAGTTACGTTGAGAGAGAGTTAGATAAATATGAGTATGAATTGAGTTGTCAGTGTTACTACTGTTGATCAGATAGCTACGTTATCTGATTCAATAGACGGAGAGGAACTTTCGTGTCATTGCGAAGCAGTGTAGTAGCTAGGGAAGGTCTCTATGTGTCGTTGGTCCCTACCATTCATACGACATACCTTCGGCCATTGCCATACCAGTTCGGCATAGTCTGCTCCGCGCTATCTATGGTATTGACAAGGGATCTCTTCCTTGTCGCGCGCACGCGCATAAGCCAAAATTAGCAGAGAACAACCAGAAGAAAAAAAATTCAATAGTAATTCAAATCAATTTATTGAGCAATGAAGAAAAAAAAACGAATCACATTTTTTTTCGAATGTCTTCAAACGTTTCTTTATATTCCAAAAGATGTGGATGGTTTGAAGGTAATTTTTCTTGAGCTATTTCTATCGCTTGTTGAACATTTTTCATTGCCATATTATATCGTCGAGTAGATAAATATAATTTAGCTATATTATGAAAAACTATAGCTAAATCAGGATGATTTTTTGGTAATTTCTTCTGACGTATTTCTAATCCTTTTTGAAAATATGTTAATGCTGTTGAATAATCTTTCATTTCACGATAAGTTTCACCTAAATATGTATATGTCATTGCACATTGCAGAGGATTACATTGAACATTTTCTTGAATATTTAATGCTTTTCGATGGAATTCAAATGCCTTTTCATAATTACCCATTAATCTATGAACATCACCAATACTACTGTATGTAAGAGCCTGATAGGGATGTGTTTCAGGTAACGTTTGTTGACGTATTGCGAGACTCTTATTAAAACTATCAAGTGCTTTCGGATAATCTTTCATGCTGCGATAAATCCTTCCGAACCAACCATATGTTGAAGCAAGATCTGGATTACCTTCTTGAAATGCTTTTTGCTCAATTTGAAGACCACTTTGAAGAATCTTAAGAGCTGCTGCATAATCACCAATTTTTTCGTAACACGCTGCAAAATTCACGTAACTATGAGCCAATGAGGGATGATTCGGAGACAGAGCTTTTTCGTAGATTTTATGTGCTTTTTCGAAAAATTCAAGTGCTTTCGAGTAGTCACCCATGTCGTCATATACGGAACCGATGTTACTGTAGGAAGTAGCTAAATTGGGATGATTTAGAGGCAGATCTTTTTCAAGTATTTTATGTGCTTTTTCGTAAAATTCAAGTGCTTTCGAGTAGTCACCCATGTTGTTATACACGTATCCGATACCGGCGTAAGAAGCAGCCAAACTCGGGTTATCAGGAGACAAAGCTTTTTCTTTTATTTTAATTGTTTTTTTGTAGAATTCCACTGCTTTAGAGTAGTCATCCATGGAGTTATATGCATGACCAATATTGTTGTAGGTAGGAGCCAATGAAGGATGGTCTTCCGGAAGAGTTCTTCGATAGATTTCGAGGGACCTTTCGTAAAATGAAACTGCTTCTTTGTATTGCCTTTTGTCGGTTTTTATCATTCCAAGCGTATGATAGATATGTGCTCTATCACTGTCGTTAGAAACCTGTTCTAGTAGTGCCGTGTACAATTCTTCGGCCTTGTTGAATTGACCAATTTTGAGCAGCAGTTTACCCATTCGATACCATCCAGTGCCGTCGACCTCTTCTCGTATACGGTCAGTTAATTGACGAAGTTGTTGGTCATCATCTGACGTAAGTTTAAGGTCCACTTGGTAAAGTGAACTTTCCTTGTCAAGTTTTCGAACTTCACCAATTCGAAAGACGGTGTGCATGGAGAAGAGAATTTCCTTTTCACCCTTGTAATAACTCACTTCCTCGATGGAGGCGAAAGGAGTCGATGAGATTGTGGGATCGATGGTCATTTGAAAAAGGATGCCGACTATATCAGTTGTTCCCAATGCATCTCTGGCGAAACTGAGGGAAATATCTCGTTTTGTACTGGTGGATAAAAAATTATTGAAAGATATGAGACCACCTTTGTTTTTTGCGAGTTTTTCGAAGTCGCTTGTCGATAATCCTTGACCCCTATAAACTAGAAAGGACTTTCCATGATATTGACTGACCTGTTGGCTGTGTAATTCTTCAATTTGTCGATGAACATCACACAGGAAAAATCCCATTCGGATGATAATGTCGCCATCCAATATTCGTAATGCTCGATTGAGCATTTTGAAGGTGAAGCATTGGCGTGTATACCACCATAACGCCAATGTTCGATGATATGTACGCTGGAATTCATCAATAATTTTGAGTTCTCTACAATTACCTTGATATTGTTCTTGGCAGAAAGTGACCAAATCTTGAATGGCTTTTTGGCCATGCTCCATGTCAAGGAGTATTTCCTTGAATATTTGACTATACATGAAGGAAGGCTCTAGCTGATTAAGATCTTCGCTAGAACCTCCTTCACTGGCACTAATAATACTAACAGTAACCTGGCCTTGATCACATTGTTTTATAGCCATGGTCAGTTTTTCACAGATGTGCTTGATTGATGTATGCACACCTTTAATTTTGGGCCACTTTTTAGCCCATTCTTTGTGACGTTGTTTATTGCCACAAAAGATGTATATGGTATCCAGTTTTGGCATGCCATGAATTTCTGGTACTAGATGTTGTCCTAATGTACCTGAGGAGATGACGAATGATGTCTCCTCATTGTTGTCCTGGAGTTTCTCAACACATTGTTCGGCCGTGGTGCATGGATTGACTTCATTAACAACACCCCGCAATTGCGCGAGTGTATTCTGGCAATCTTCATTTGCCATGTCGATACTACTATCGACCCAGATGACCAGATAATTTTCAGCCATTCGTAATCTTCGTTGTCTACTCATTTTCGATGCTATTTTTGACGTTTGCTCGACGATTGAATAGTAAAAATGATAGATTGTTGTTTGAATAGAGACCACTGTTTTCTATTTATACATTCGATGTTGGATGCTTTTTTTCTAGATTTTTCTACGACGTCAAATATGGGCGCTCTTTTTTTGTTGACGCCCAAGGCCAAACTCCACCTGTTTGGAATTGAAGATATGGTTGTCAACAACAAATGAAAGAGAAAAAATCCAACAACATAATTTATTTTTATGGTTATTCTTTCCAACTTTAGTTTGCTCTTTTTTTTATATGAACTTTTATTATCTCTATAAAATGAGGTTGACAATGGAAGATAACACGAAGTTAAGCATTAGTAAATATAATAAAAAGAATGAGACAGCAAGGAGAAAGTAAAAAGAATAGAAAGCAAGGATATCATTGTCGTAAATTTGAAGTCTAATGCGACCTTATGCTGGGATGTGTGTATCTGGATGTGAGTGTGGGTGTATGGTGTGGATTGTTGCTGGTGACCGTGATTATGACTACGACTTCTGGCGGGGGTGGATGTGGGTTGGTACAGCTGTGATTATGAGTAGTGGATGGCTATGTGGGAGTGTGGCTGTGGATGTGGAAGCGAGTGATGTGAACGTGGTTGCGGGTATCGGTGTAGGCGTGGGTGTGGGTATGGGTGTGCGGTGTGAGTGTGGGTGTATATGAGGGACAGTTGTGAGGTGCCAGTGTAGGCTGTGAGTGTGGGCGCGAGTCTTCTCTTCAGCAAGTATACCTACATCCACAGCTACACCCACACCGCACATCCGCACCTACATCCCATATACACCCACACCCACTTCCTATACCAACACCCCACACCCACGCCCACAGCCATACACACACTCTTCTCTAAATTTTGATTCTCAAGAATTGTGACGCCATAAAATACAAATTTTTTTATGCGTATAGTCAAAATAGTGTGCTTTGCAGCGCAGTTATAACTGCTGATATTCAGTCAACTGAATCTTGACGAAATCTATTGGAATTCCAGTTGTTGGCACTGTGATCCACTGTATGCATCTGCACTGCTTCTTTCGGTAGTTTCACAGCTGTATTTTAGAGTGAAAACCCAATAGTTTAATATAGAACACTTGACCAAATTCTAGTCGTTCATACTACTAATATTTCAGAGCACACGAAAGCATGTTTAAACTTCTGCTCGACCTTGAACGATGGATTCATTTTAAAGAATATTTCCTAAGACTACAACGATCCAATTGTCTCTATTTCTTTCTTCAATATATTGCCATTGAATAACGGAAATTTTTAGCAATCTATCGGAGTCCAAAATCCATTGCCTCTGGTGACTAATATCGTGTCCTTCTCTTGCACAGATTGTTTTCCATACTGTTATTTTGCTACACTAGAACATACCGAATCGATCTCCACATCGTTATTCATAGCACGACCTAATGAATGTCAATGAAAAACAATCTATTAGATGACTTATATTTTGGTTATTCATATGTTTTTAACCGCACGAAATGTGTTGTCAAGTCACCATAAAAAAGGCCTACTGTCGATATGAAATAGATTATCTGTCTGTTTTCTTATGAAAATTGATGAAAAAAGTGAATGAGACTCATGTTTTGTTGCTTGATTTGAGTCCCATACGAAGCATTATAATAAAAAAATCTGATATCCATCGATCTTTTTTTACAAATTTCTTTAAAAAATCTATATGAGTGAGCGTGAGCAGTGAAGAAAAGATCCATAAGCACACTCCCATTTCAAATAATTTAAATTATTAATCGTACTTTTTCATTTAATTTGGTCTGTCGTAAATGATTGATGTCTATATTTACGTGAAGAAGACGAAAACACAAAAGATTTTGTCACAAAATATCAGTATATCACAACAACATAACAAACTGAAACTATTCTTATTAGAGAGAATAATCATTACCATATATTTCATTATGTCAGAATCCTTTCAATCATATACACTATTTCACTAAATGTAGTACAGTAAAACCTCTTTGATGTGAACACCATAAGGATCGTTAAAAAAGTCTTCACTATACGGAGATGTTCGATTTAGAGAGCTGATTCATAATTTGCTGTGAAATAAAGAAAAACTTCCAAGATATCTGCATCTACGTTAATCTCAGATAAAAGCCTAGTGATTTATTCTCTTGTTCATATACAATAGTTAATTCCATTTTTTACTTGCAAACTAAACTGATGTCATAATGCCATTATGTTCTTCATACACACAATAGTGAATTCATAAATAAAGGGTACTTAGCCATCATACATATGACACTAGTGATAGTGATCGACAATAGAAAGAGATAAGAAAAAAAAACATTGCATCTGTGTTCACATCGAAAAGATTATAACAATAAGAGGATTGGCAAAACAGTGTTTACTATTCAGAATACGAAGATGTTCACATTAGAGAGACAGAGACACAGAGAGAGAGATTTTCAGCAAAAGAAAACGCTCCGTCGGATGTGAGACTGTTCATAATTAGGAGATGTTCACTACTAGAAATTTTACTGTAGTAAAATTTAATATGAATATGACAAGAAAGACAAGTTGATGTTGAATGTCCATACAAATGCGACATCTGTTCCACATTGAATGATTAAATAATTGATTTATCCAATATATTTTAGTTTTATTATTCGTGATAAAAAATATTTATTTTGAATTTATATCGTTTTTGTTTATATCTTCAAGCTAAATAATCAGCTGTGACAAGAGATCTAGAGAAGACAAGACAATCGAAACATGGCATCTGATTTTTTTTTTCTATTCCATATTAAACAATTAGACGATTTAAATGTGTATAAGTACACCATTTATTCAAGAAAAATTAGAGACTAATGCTTTAAAAATTATTTCCATGTTTAGATTTTTATATCATCAAAATCCAATTGAATACAAGTGAAAAAGACAGTGCTGTATATTTTACTTTTTATCATTTTTAATATAATCAAACTTGCATAGAAGACCGATTGAAAAAAAAGAAACATGATTAGAATATAACAATAATAAATAATATTAAGAAGTCTATTTCGTTTCTCATCTCAATGAGATATACTTCAAAAATAAATTGATAAAATGTAATTTTCGGTTAATTCCTTTGTGATACAATCTTCTAAAAATCATCATATTAATATTACTACTGAACTTATTTCAATGATGAATATTTAAATTGTTCAATTTGTTTTACAAGATATTTGTAGAACTATATATTTTAGATGTATATCCTTTAATGATATAAAACAGAACAGTATTATTTAAAAAAAGAAATGTTTATTAATAATGAATGATTCAACATTAACTAATCTCGATGGAATTCCTGACTATAGACGAGTAAATACACTTGTTGATACACATATTTATAATACAT